GAGAGAGAGAGAGAAAGAGACAGAGGGAGGATCAACCGTGGATGGCTGGCGTCCGATAACTGAATTTTCCCGTGTCTTTTCCCCCACATTTCCGTGATCGATCGCGAGTAGTTTGGTCGACGATCAAAAGTCGAAAAATTCTCGCCGTGTGGGTGGACGAGGTCCAATTTGATTTGCAAGCAAAGTACGCCGTAGAACAGCTCGACAAGAGAGATCGACGGAGCAAAGGCCGAGGACGAGAAGGATGAGAAGTGGAGAACGGGGACAACGATGAGTCGAAGATGGGGAGAAAGATCCCGTGTTAAAAAACGCGGACGAGGCAAAGGTTAAGGAGAACCGCACGCGTCCGAAATCTCAAGTATCTCATCGACGTCTTCGTCCACCTAACAGTTTCCTTCGTTTGTAGTCATCTAACTTGCCCCTGTCTCCTCTTCAACTCCCGCCGGCGCAATTCCCGAAGGGTACATCCGCGACTTTTATGTTTTAACCCCGCACTCGAACTCGCCCCCTCGCAGAGCTCTTCTTTATATCGGTCGCTTCCTGGCTCAATGCCCGATACGATTTTTACGGAATATCTCAATGAGTAGGCACGACAAGTGGCACGACAAGTAGAATGGCTCGCCTTTTGTTCCATTTGTTACATTGGTATACGCGAAGTTAATTGTGAAATTAATTACAAAGTATTGTTCCGAGTGCTGATGTTCTTCGCGGTATTTATGAATCATACTGAATACATAAAAATATAAATAGAAATTTAATTAAACATTTTGTACCGAAAATGAAAAGGATTATTGATCGTAATTTGTAATTTCAATATTACTGAAAAACTTCTATGTGTGTCACGTAAAATGCGATAAATTTAAGATACATCGTATTCCTGACACATACGTAAAGTAAAGTGATAAAACCAGAAGTTTTCATCTAAACTCAGTAGAGAAATAAGAAAAGCTGCTTGTATCCATTTCGAGTGCGATGCGTGTTACTGAATCGAAGATAAGCATTAGGAGCGATCCACTCAACATCTTACACTGCACACATGCACACGGTAGTCCGATTCGCGTCACGCGTTCTAAAACTTGAAAGTGCTATCCACGATTCCGCCACTCGTCCACATCGCCGATCAGCCGGCATGGCAATCCTCGCGACTTCGCAAGCGAGGAAAGTTATCAGAGATAATAAATTCAACGATGGAAACGGGGATCGGGACGAAATCCTGGACGATTCGAAACGACCGGCCTCTCCGGGGCCAGAAACAGTTTAAAGCCGAAGAAGAAGCTCCATAAGAAGCGAGCATAATGTGGCATGGCGAGAGGGACGCATCGCAGCCGGGCGGATGGAAGGAGAGAGAGAGAGAGAGAGAGAGAGAGAGAGAGAGAGAGAGAGAGAGAGAGAGAGAGAAT